AGACATAAACAAGTTAAAATTTTATATTACGGATGAATTCGGCATCATCTTAACAAAATATCACTTCCAATACTACTAAGGTCCAACTTTAGAAATCTTATGTTACTTCGCGAATCTGTAACAGATTGAGACTCAATTTAAACTTCTCAAAAAAATAACGGTATATTGTGAAAATATTTGTTAAATCAACATAAATCCTTAAGAATTAGTTCAGAATAAGTTCAGTTCAATTCGGAATCATATACAAATTCTCTAAAATTAACTGGTTAATTTATTTAATTGCTATTTGATGCTTTGTGCATTGTCTATTTGTTGGTACATTCAATCGTTATATTTAATACAGTTCCCCAAATTGACCAAATTTATAACTCAATAATATTGAATTCTTTTAAAATGTAACCATAACAGCAATAATTAATTATAATAACTTCCATATTCAATTAAGTATTCATTATAATTGTGGACAAATTATATATACTCAATATGCCAGTTTGATTTATATTATAACAATTTAAATACTGCACTTTCTTCTTTCGCAATATTTCAATGGCACCGCATCGCATAAAGTTATTGATTTATTGCACTTTCAATATTAACATAATACTGGAAAATTTGTAATATGGCATTTTTAATTTTTTTTTACAATATTATTAAAATAAGCAATTCTCGAATGATGTTCCTTACATTTATTACTCGAAATATTGTTAGTGAGTTGGTTTTTTCCAGATGTCTCTTCTTTCGGCGCAAAAAAAAATAATAACACAGACAACTTGTGTGGGCTACTAGTTTACACTTGATTATTTTTCTTCGTAATTACCCATGTATTCTTCACATTTCTAAAATTTTAATTATAATTTAAGTTTAAATTTTTGCTAAATGTAAAAGTAAAATAAAATTTTCAAGTACTTTTAAGTATTTTAAAGCCTTTTTCATTTGCATACTTGTTTGCTCTTTAAATTTACGCAAAAAAAAAAACAAAAATGGCATATAAATTTCCTTTCCATTACAAAATTTTCTTTTCATTTTCCTTTCGTATTAATTTTTTTTTTTTTAATTTTCTTTTCATTTCTGTCATATTTTTCCTTTTCATTTTTATTTTGGCGGCGCGTTTATTAAAATTTAATGATGCTGATGATTTTCCAGACATGGTGTGTATATGTATGTATGTGAGTAAATAAAAATGTAAGCACAATTTTTTTTTACATTTCGAATACATGAGTACATTTTTTTTATATATATACTTTTAGTGTTTACTTATAAAAGTAATCATAAATTCTTATGTTCAATTCTAAAAGGAAATTCAATAGCAATATTTCACCTTTATTTCACTTTAAAAGCAAAATGTTAAAAAAAAATTTTTTTTTTCCTCATTCAGCTGAAAATCAAAATGAAAAATGAGAACAAAAAAAAAAAATGAAAATAATGTCACCCTTTTTTTTTTTTTAATTTTTTTTTTTTTGTTATATTTTAATATTTTTTCAGTTTTCGCGTATTTTATCCTCCCTTACCCCCCACCCACTCATACTCTACTCGAATATATTTGAATGAGAATGCGAATATATTTTGTTTTTGTTTTGTATAAAGCGTTGAAAAATGCTAATGAGAGGGAGAGAAAGAGATAAAATATTGCACTAATTTTGTAATTTTAAAATTGTCTGTCGTTTTTGTAAAGTCAATCAATAAGAACGTTTTTAAGAATTATAACAATTCGTGTTTCTAAATATTGAAATTAAGTAAATATGTATTTCGATTTGGTTCCTCCATATTTAATACAGTTGTTTCATATTTAATACCGTTCCTCAAATACAGTTTCTGGTATATTATAACATACATGACAGACATCGTAAAACTTGGGCATTATGATAACGTAATAGAATATGCAAGTACAATTTGACCATAGCTATTTGGAGAGAAAATATCATTAAATTTCCTCTAATTTTCGGAGACGAAATATGTCTAAAAGAAACGTAATTGTGGACTGCAATAATCAAATTCAAATTTATCTGCTTTTACACTCAGTCCCCTTAATGCCCTTACCCTCAGTGCCCTTAAATCGCAAAGTGTTTTAAATATTCTATCTTCAAAGAGAACCGAACTATGCTAACATTATTTAAATAAAAAAATTTGCTTTTTTCCTAAAAGTATGCAAATTTTTTTTTCTAAATTTTACAATTTAAGAAAACGATAATCTTAAATCTTCTGCACCTCTGTTCCTTTTATTCTTCAAATTCACTTAAAGTATATGCTGATATACTTACTTCAATGTTACATTACTAGTAAAGAAAAGCACAATTTTCAAAAGCCTTAATAAAATTCATCACTTGTTCTATATATGGGAGACAAAATTCAATTGGTATATTTTTAAAATTATCACGGCCTTTTTCTTTTATCGCAGTTTTGTTTTTTCTTATTTTTTATTTTCTCCTTCACTCGAATGAATGTGATTCTTATTTTTTTGTTTTCGATCGTTAAAGAAAACGAAACTAACTGTTAAAGGAAATTTATTGAGACGGATATGATTTTTTTTTTTTTGAATAAATAATAATATCTCCTTTGATAGTAAAAGTTCAATTACAAGTGTGTATTCATGTTTTTTTACACTAAAATAAAAAAAACACAAAATCCTGAAAAATAAAGACTTTCTTCATAAACTATAAAAATTCAAACATCAAACAAATCAAAATATATTGTAGGGGAATGACAAAATGCTTGGGTGCGTATGTATGTACAAGCAAAAAAAAAACATTAAAAAAATATTCAAATTTTGTAATGGGGTGTAAAATTTTTTCTAATGTCATTATTTTTTTTCCCCCAATTTTTAGGTGACAAATTTAAAAAAGGTGGAAATTTAATATTTGTTGTAAAATACCAGAATCATACTAAGAGAGCTCATTAATTATTAGTAATATCAGGAGGAGCTGTAATTATTTAAAATTAGGAAATTTACAAAGCCGAATTCAAAATTTTATTTTAACCATAGACAAAAATTTTAAATCTCACCTCATCTAATACTATAGTTTTCTGTGAAAATGTTTAAAATGCTACACTCATTTCTTAAAATTTGAAATAAACAAATATAGGAAGTTTCATATTTTTTTTATGGTGTTTACTGTATTCTTTTGAATAGTGTAAAAATTTTTAAGAAAAATAGGAAAATGAAAGTAAAACAAATTTGAAACTTAGAAGAAAATATTAAATTTTATCAACTTTCAAAAACTTCATCGTATTTTATTGTAAAATAACAAAAAGTTTTAGTTCACCTTACTGACTAAATATTGAAAAACTGAAACAAAAAAACTTTATACCAAAGTTATGTGTCATAAAATGACCACAACAGCAAAATTGTGAAATATTTGATTTTGTATCTATAGGAATTGGGTCATTACAAACATGTCATAACTAATAATTGTAATTGAACCGAAATGTGAAATTGCCTAATTAAAAATAACAAGTGGAGCTAGGATTGATTTTTTATTTTTATACCTACTGAGAGGACAAAACAAATTCAAAACTTTTCCAAAAGCTAGTAACTCAAAATATTAGTATCTCTTCAAGAAATATAAATAAGTGCAGTTTGAATTTACAACGAGATTCTGAAGTAATACGCCAAAATATTTCTCTTTTTTAAACCATATTCTATATACTTACTATATATAGATTTAGGTATTTTAACTTATTGTGGCATGGCGTATATCATATTTAACTTGTCGTAGCTCAAGAGTCATTTGATTTCATGTTCTCTTTCAATTTGACCAATCGTTCAGTAGTTTGGTCTTTAGCCATAAATTATAAGAATTATGTATTCGGTAAAATTTAAGGACAACATGAAAACGGGCAACCTTTTAATAGTATTCACATTATTTTTTTACATTTTTTTAATTTTATTTATCAAACCTTTTTAATCCCTTTTGGATAACAAGATGGATGTATTTTTCTGACCATTACTTTAACTGACCTTGTAAATTTATTTTCATAAGTATGCCATTCCAATTTGACTTTATTAACAGACTTAATTAATTGTCTATATTCATTTTCATTTTCAATATTTATTTTTAGTTGATCATTGTTCATCATGTTTACCTTCACATCAAATCAATACTTTTTTCATTGAGGATTTTTATTAACCGCGAATAATTTATTTTATTACTCACCATTACACTCGCCATTAACCTTCGACGGTTTATGTTTTTTAAGTTTAACATTTTTTTTTGTTTAATATTTATCTACTTTTGTTTACTATTTCTAATGCCGGTTCCATTTATGGTAAACTTTTTGCTTTTATTTTCTTTGAGTTTCTTTTGATTTTAAGAATCCAATTGGTTTATCTAGCTAACCCATTCGTACACATTCACACGTATTTTGTGTTTTTCGGTGTCATTTGGCATTATATTCTGTTGTCCCAATAATCTTTGATTTTCTGCTTTGACTTTGTAGATCTCGTTTTTCAGCTCCTTACTTTATATGATTGAAGAATAATATACATTTTCGTTTTTTGCGCCGGGAAATATTGATTTACCAATGGAGAATACCTAGAATCACAAAAATAAAGAAAAAAATTAAAAATAAAACAAATTTGATTTTTTATTTCTCTTTTTTTTTTTGTTTCATTTTAATTTTAAATTTTCAATTTTATTATTTTTATTATTTTTAAAATTAATGCTAGTAAGTTTTTTTTTCTTTTTTTTTTCTCTTTTTCTATATATAATAATAATAATATAATTTTTTTTTTTAATTATCCTTAAATTAATGAAAATTTGAATACATAAAAAAGTACTAAAAAAAAGTTTTGTTTTTTTTTTATTTTTTTTTTTTTTATTTTAAATGATTTTTCTTATTTTCTTCTTTTTTTTTTTAATTTTTAATCAATTCAAAGTCTACAATCTAAGCTAAAATACACAATCGCAGGATATAAAGTTCTTTTTTATCTGTTTTTTTTTTTTTTTTATTTAATTTTTTTTTTTGGAAATTTTTCTTGTTTTTGTTTTGTTTTATTTTAAAATCAAACTATTCACTCTAAAATTAGCACAAAGTGATTAAATTTTTTTTTATTTTTTTTTTTTTTTTTTTTAATTTAATTTTAATTTTTTTCTTCATTTTCAAGATTTCAAATTTTTTTTTATTTATTTTACAATTATTCTGGTTTTTTTTTCTTTGTTTTTTTTTTTTTTTTAATTAAACGATCTATTTACAAAAATCACAAATACACAGCCTAAGTTTAAGATTGTCTCAGATATGAAATTTTTAGTTCTTGATTTATTTTATTTTTTTTTTTTTTATTTTTATTTTTTTGTAGTATTTTTCCAAAAATGAATTAAAATTGTGTGAATGAATCGATAAATCCAACATGATGTGCACATTTTTTGTTTTCTTTTTTCTTATTATAATTATTTTTTTTTTTTGCTTTTTTAATGTTAGAGAAGAAGAAAGTAAAAAAAAAAACAGGTTCTTTTTTTCTTGTTGATTTTTCTTTGGTTAATCTCATTTTTGAATGGATTTTCTTTTATTGTTTTTGTAAAATGCAAGGATTCTGCGAGCTAGATAATTAGAAAATTATGGAAAGAAAAATAAAAAAATTTAATTAAAAATTAATATAATACTGTCTTTGAAATGCTTTTTACGAGTATTGACGCATATGCAGGCAAATCTCGGATAAGACAGCTGAGTTTTATTAAGGCCAAGCCAAGCCACCAACATACATAAATGTTACAAGCAACATTACAATTATAGAAAACTATACGGGAGTTTAATTTATAAAAAACTAAAAATAGGGTGCTATTTACAAGATTCGCTCAGATTATCAACCCGATTCGCTCTGATTTTTAAACCAATTCGCTCTGTACTATTCTCGGTACATACTACGAAAAACATTTCTATATATTAATTAGCTTTATAATTGAAATGAAATTCCCAATTGTAATTTGTAACTAAAATAAGTTTCGTCCTATTCGAGTATTGCCTGCATACATTAGAAATTGAAAAAAAAAAATGTTATTTAGAATTTAGTAAAAAAACTAATTAAATTTCAACAAAAAATATATATATACAATTTATATCCAATTTATTCGATTTAAAAAAAAAACTAACTAATTAAGTGTTATACGATTCAAGTAATATGAAAATAAAAAATTTTTCGATTTCAGAACTGTTCATTGTACTTTGAACACAACTTTTGAACAATTGAATAAATTGGATAAATTTAAAAGATATTTTTAATATAAAATTTAATTTATATAACACATACGAGTCATACAATACAATTTAAATATTAAACAAAAATTTTAATTAGAATTTACAATATTGTATAATTGAAAAATCATGAGTATACGAAATCAAGATATTTAAAAAAAAAATACTAGTTCAAATATATACAACAAACTGAATCGAACGTGTTTGACTACTTTTCAATTATACATATCGAACATGTTTGATTATGTGATTACAACAAATGAATTGAACATGTTTGATAACTTTTTAGTTATACATATCGAACATGTTTGATAATTTGGTCACAACAATTAAATCGAACGTGTTTGATTACTTTTCAATTATACATATCGAACATGTTTGATTATGTGATTACAACAAATGAATTGAACATGTTTGATAACTTTTTAGTTATACATATCGAACATGTTTGATAATTTGGTCACAACAATTAAATCGAACGTGTTTGATTACTTTTCAATTATACATATCGAACATGTTTGATTATGTGATCACAACTAACTGAATCGAACGTGTTTGATTATTTTTCAATCAATACATTGTATTACACTCATTATCGAACACAATAATTAATATTGAATATACTATAAAAAATTACTTACCATTGTGGTTCTGCTCAAACAATTTCGATTCAAAAGAAGAAAAAAAATAGTAGAGAGTACAGCATAGAAAGTCCTTTAAGTTTTTTTTTTGTATTTCTCTTAAGTTAAAAGTTTTTTTTTTTTTCAATTTTAAAGATTGTCGAGACAACATCTCTTTCGAGTGTACTTATTATTATATACAAATAAATAATTATTTTATTCTAGATTTCTAATTTTCTATATGTACATATACATATATATATATATATGTATATATATATGCATTTCTATTTTATTTATAATTATTTTAGTTTTTTTTTATTCTTTTAAATTTATTCTTTCTTTTATTTTTATCAATTCAATGAGCAACTTTTTAAGCAATCAATATTTTATTTATATTTGTATTGGTTTTCCTTTTTTCTCTATTTTGTTGCTTTTTTTTTTTATAAATTTAAATTTTTTTTTAAAATTATACGTATGTATTGTATTTTTTATATGTATGTAATGAATTTTAATTTTTTCCTTCTTTTTTTTAGTATTATTTTTTTATATATGTTATTTATATTATTATAATGAATAAAACTAAAATGAAATAAATTATTTATACGTTTTAAAATTGTTAATATCGATAAATTGTTGTTTGGAATGATTGATATTGTCTGCTGTACGATAATGTGGATTATTTTGTGGTCCTGCATTTTTACAAATAGCTGTAGCAGCATAATATATTTCTGATGGATAACGATGTTGTGTTGTTGATAATACATTTGGTAATGTATTATTACGTGGTGATGGTGTACGACGTACACTAACATATCCAGCTGGAATTTTTGTTGTATCCTGATAACGCATTTGAGATGGTTCTGCATATTCTTGGTAAACGATATCAGGAACATCTGCGTTTAATAATATAGAAAAAAACAAAAAGAAAACAAATATTTTATTTACTTTTTATTTACTGTTGTTTTTTTTCTAGTGAGTAAATAATGGAAAAATTCAAAAAACAAAATAAATATTAAAAGATGGTTGAAACGCAAGCAATATATACATAAGGTATGGGTACATATAGCATACAAAATAGTCATACCAAAAAAAACCAAAAATACTCACCAGTATATTCTGGATTTATATGATAACGTTGTAAATTATTTGAAGAACAACGTTTTGCTGAATTTGTAGACATATTAAGATTAAATGGTTCATGATATAAACTGCTCTTTTCTATCCATTCATCATTGTCATTCGTTGAAACCTTACATAATAAATATATAAAAATTTTTTCAGAATGTTAGAATACAAAAAATAATATAAAAATTTTATTTGATGTATAAGTAATTAATAAAAAAAATTAAACACAGAAAAATGAATTAAATGTTATAAAAATTGAATTTGATGTTTCTTAAAAAGTGAAATGTTATAACAATGTCGTTCCACGTCACATCAAAATATTATCCAAGAATAATAAAATTGAAAATTATTTTTTAAAAATGATTACGTATTTGTAAACACTGACGCTTCTGGCTGAAATTTCTCTCTTCTCTAAAAAAGTTTTCTCATACAGTAACCACCGTCGTTACTGTCAACAGCAACAATTTTGTTACAAATTTAAGTGACGATCCGTACAATTATGGCGGCGTCAGCATATTGGATGTGACACAAAATACTAAAAATTTTTTAATTTTCGGCAGTCCTATTCAGTCAATCAGCTTTATTTTTTTTCTCTTTCTTTACTTTTCTAATTTAAAATTTCTGGATTTAAAAGCTAATGCTGATATGATTCTAATTCTATTTATTAGATTACCACCACAACTGCCGGTAAGGCTCAAATACTTTTCACACTAAGAAATTGTAGCATATTTCAAATGAATAGATGGCGTCTACTATAGTGTCGGTATTTATTTTTTAACACAAATAAATTTGACAGAAATTAAGAAAAAACACGAAGATCTTTTGTTTTTAATTGAAAACTAGGTACAAACATAAATGTGTAGCCGACCCAATATACTTCAATTTTTCCTGCACGATTCTAACTTTTATTTAGGAAAATTTGGTTTAATTCGCTTTGGCAGTCCTAACAAAGATGTGCAATAGCATTCCGATTTTATTGGTAGGAATGCAAAAAATTTCCTGCCAAATCGACAACATAACATTTTTTTTCTATTTTTATATTTATAGCCTCAATTAGAAGGGAATGTAATTCAGTCTTTTTGACACCAGAGTTTTTATTGGCAGTTGTCAGAACTGCAAACATGAATTGAACCTATTGTTAACTCGAATACAATTTAAAATTGATTTTATTAAAATCACCCTCATATCTTAAAACTAATAAATACTACAATTTCATACAGAACAAAATTATATACATAAATATTTACCTTAAAATTACTATTTACACGTTTATTAACTTCAAATCTTTCTGGATTAAAATTATATTGAAAACCATCTAATGCATCATTATCACGTGCTTTACGTTTTCTTACAACAATTAATAATACAACAGCCATTGTAATTAATATAACAGTTGTAAGACTGACTAATATTATTCCAACTAAATTACGTTCAGGTGCTTGATCAATTGGTCTCGGTGACAATACTATATACAAATGAAATGTAAAAATTAATTTTTAATATTCTAAAATTAATCAATTAAAAATTTAATTAAAATTTTTTTTCTTCTTTAGTAATTCTTTAGAAAAAAGAGGAATATGCACAGGAAGTATGGAAATGAAATTTATTTTGTAATACGAAGTTAGTATGTATTAAGTGGATAGATCAAAAGATAGAAGAGAAAATTCTATAGAATTTAATAGATTTTTTCTTTTTAAAAAAAAAACCTTCATAAATACGTTTTTGTTCTCCTTTTCCAGAATTTTTTGTTGTCTTTTGTGATAATAGCGTTTCTTTAACTTCTTCATCTGTAAAATTTCCTGTGGCAGCAACTAAATTTCAAATACAAGAGAAAAAAATACAAAGTTACAATGCAAAAATTAAAAATAATAAATGATTAAATTTATTGATTCAATAATAATAATTTTTATTTAATGACTGTCTTTATTATATTATACTCGTATATATATATATATTTTAATACTAACCGGAAATGAATGAAATTTCACTTAATAAAATCCAACGTGAACCGAAATATAATTGAATTTTTAAGAAACGTCCGATACGATTGTGTAATTTTATTGTTATATCCCTTGCTTGATCCGATACCATATCTGTCATATATGAATATTGGACTGGTTCACCAACAAAATGAATTCCACCAATACTAAAGAATATTTTTGCATGACGAAACACCTGTTCAAATTATAATAATATAAATAAATGCAAGGTAAATATTAATAAATGTGAATGTATATATATATATATATATCAATAAAAAAATGGCAATATTTCAAAAATAAAATACAACAAAAATTATTAAATTAAAAAAAAATCATGTACCTAAGTACAATAAGAGTGGAAGGAACGGAAAAAGAAAAACAGATTATACAAAAGTCCAGTCGCAGTCAACATTTTCCAGAATGAAATTTCAGATACAAACTAATAAAAATATACAAATTAAATATTGAAAAAAAATTCAAATCACGAAATTTAACGCGAATTTTAAAATTTGTTTGTGCTTATAATCTTCTATCAAACAAAATTAAAAAATACCCAATAAGTAAATAAGTACAAAGTATAACCAAGCAAGTAAGTAGCAGACTTAAGCAATAATATCATTTCCGACAAAAATTTTTTTTTTATTCAAACCGTTCTTCTTGTATTCAATTTAATGCGATACTTTATTATTTTAGAAATAATGAAAGATTTTAAATGCTATATGATGATTGATCAAAATGAATAATTTGTAGTCAAACAATGGGTACGTTATTCGTTAACAAAAAAATTGAAAAATAAGAAACTAAGTCTAGCTATTTATGGTTATAAAATGAAAGCCGACTTTCGGTAAATCAAAAAATTATTCAAAACATATCAATTCAGAGACAAATAAGAACTTTAATTCAATACTCAAAATTTAATTTAAGAATATTTTAAAAATTTTTGTTGAATTTTAAAATAAAATTTAAAGAAGAACAATATTTAAATTAATCAATTTTTTTTTGCAAATATTGCAGTAATTACACGAAAATGGAATAAAATCTTTCATTCTCTTGTAAAAATTATATTCAACTTTTACCTATTTGGACACACAGAGCGAACGTGCGGTAGTTTAAAGGTTAATATACGTAAATGAATTTTCGATTTAACGTAAGTTTTTATATCTGCAGAGTTAGGCACAGAAGCTTTAGAAATTTTAGCGAAAGCATAGCGGGGAAGGCAGAGTCTACGAGTTATCAAAGGCGGCATTTTTAAAGATATTTAGTTTGGAGACTAAGCGACCTCCTTATCAAAAGGAGTACTCAGGGAGGTTCACATAAATCACTCTCTTCCACTTTAGTAGCAACCTGTAATGAGCAATAGAATAAAAAGAGGGAGTTTTCGATAATACGTGAGTCGATTTCGACGGTCCTAGAGGGTAGGACATGGATACCACTACCTATTTATGGATGCCCAACATATAAGCTACAAGAATTGCAGAGACTCCTTTGGAGCGGAGCACTCTAAGGGTGCACATGTCTAGATAATGTGCACAGGATTAAGTTATATCTCCGCTAATATGTAGTATGGTGATGGATGGTCTCTTTGATAAATTGTTACGTCAAGGAATTGATGTTCAAGCTTATGCTGATGATATTGTAAAAATTTGAAGAGACTCTTTGTGACATAATACAAAGGGATTGCGAATGGCCTAAGTCTAGCATAACCCATAACAATATTTTGATCCATTAACAATTTTCGTTAAAATTCTTAACGAATAGATACAAGTTTTCGGTACACATTAACTTAGCTTCATGTAAAATTTAATTAATTCGTTATATTTAACGCCATTCTAAATTTATAACAAAATCAAAATATATAGCATCAATTAAATAAAATACTTTATTCATGGAATTATTTACAAAATATTTAATTAAAGAATATTGCAAAATAATAATTAAATATTTTTAGATGAGAATATTATTGAAATAAAGTGTAATCAAGGAATGACTATAATAGACGAGTATATATTATGTAATGAAAGTATAGCTATAATAGAGCTTCAATAAATTTGTCTATATTATTATAATTTAAATGATTTCATGTTTTGTAACTCATAGTAACTTAGTCTATATAATAACTTCATAATTAAATTCACAATATTTATAAAAAAAAGGTTTTACTTGTCAAAATCATAATTCCAATAACTTGTATACTGAAATGACGTTGAATTTTTCTGATATTTTTTTTTTCTTTAATTACAATTATTTTTACATTAAAAATTTATTACATTGGTACGTATACATGCAACTATGTTATAGATTAAGTCTAAAGAATATTTATTAAAATTTTCTTTTAATAAAATTGTCAGATTGCTATAATCTAGTTTTGATTTTGCACTGCAAGCACCCATTACATTTATGTAGTTTAAATTCTAGTATTAAAATATTATAATCAACTTTTAATACCATAGATCTTTTTAGTATGGTAGATGGTAATTTTATATTATGCGCGCATATGTATATGTACATACTTACCCGTAGCTGGCTGGGGTTTAAATTAAGACAAAATTCAAAATAATATTTTTATAATGCAAGCTTGTTCCAGCTTATCTATATTTAGTTTAAATTGCATTTAGATATTTTTATTTATAAAATGTGTACAAGAATTTTTTATTGGAATCGCTCTTTGAAAATTAAAATCTCGCAATAATAAAAAATCAGAGTAAGTAGTCGAAAACTTTAAGAAAAAAAAAAAAAAACTAAACCGGTCATTTCGAACATTTTAATATTAATTTTTTTTTATCAGAAAAAAAAATCTACTTACTTGCAATTTTTTAGTTAAAGTTTAATTGAAAATTTAAAGACAAATTTATGTAATTAAGCAACCAACTATTGATTTTAAATGTTTTAAATGCAAAGCGCTTGGGTGGTATTCAGTTTTTTTATTTTTACAATTTTTTTTTTTTTTTTTGTTTTTAATCGATTTCCTGTACAACCCCTTCATTTTCAATTTAATTATTTCTTTACATAAAAAGAAAAAATTATGTACTTAATGTTAAAAAACAAAAAAAAGTAGAAATCCCAACCATAGCTACCTTGAAATCAAGTTAAGTTATGACATCTCAAGTCACAATTATCGTGACAGCAATTTAATGTTTTCTCTGTTTTTTTGTTTTTTAATCTTTCAAATTATTTTATCATATATGAATAAAATCAAAGTTAACTATATAAGTAAGTATTAAGATTTAATACGATTTCTTTACTTAAACATAAAATGCAATATAAGTGTTCCTGTACGTATGGTACGGTACCTACATGTATAATGCCAGGGATGATGAAAAAATATAGCCAATAAGGTAACCGGAGGTATATAATGCACACTCTTGAAGATGAGTTTCTTAAACTTCTCACTTAATTATTCAATTGAGTGAAAATAGCCTCACCTAAGTGAAGAATATTGAAACGGCTCAATAATCATAGTGCCATATTATTGATTTATTAAAACACAAATGTTTATTGTCACTTTTTTAGAAAATATGTTGTAAATTTGTTGAGAAAGTAAATTACTGTCCGAGAATCAAGAAATTATATTTCTCACTTTACCAAAGAGTTTTCGCTCAGTTATAACATGTATTCATGTATTTCACAATTATAAATCGCTCATTTTCGCTCAGTTATAGTATATATTCTAAGGTAATAACTAAATCCAGGACGTTATCAAAATGGAATGAATGGATTTTAGATAATTTCAATCTGCGCTGTAAATCATTTGCAACAAAAAGAAGCGTATTGATAATATATAAATCGAAATCAGCTAATTCGCTCTTTTTTCATATAATGAACAAAAAATTTGGAATTAGCCGAAATTCGGACATTATTTGTATTTAATCGAAATATTTAAAACTCAAATTTAATTTATTCTTTGGCATCCGTCCCTGACACTTTTACACTTAAATATTAAAGATTTAAATTGATTTTCATTATAAAGTGCATATATACAATAATAATAAATAAATTGGAGCTTCTTCAATTATACATAATCATTCCAATATTCCAATTTGCTTTTAAAAATAATTCATATATACGTATACATACAGTGTAAAATATAATATTTTTACATCTGCAGACAATTTAAAAAGTCACGCAAAGCTAAGCTACAACAAAAACCAAACATACAATAAGAAATAAAAAGAAAAACAAAATATAATATAAAGACTTACCTGAACTTCCCTTGAAAACATATTATTCGTGTGTAAAATAATTGCACTGAAATTTCGCACCGCATCAAATTCAAATGTAATCTCAACTGGTTTTCCAGATAACATAGGTGTATCATTTGTCCAACCGACCCATTCATAACCTTTAATATATTATAAAACATAGAAAATTCAGAAAAAATACAAATTAAAATAAAAGACCAAAAACGTATAAGAATATGAAAAAAAAAAATCAATTTAAAATCGAAAAACAAAAAATAAAATCAATCGTTAATTATTTTCTTACGTTTTTTTTTTTTCTTTTTTTTTTGTTTTTTGTTTTGTTCCCCCCCTTTTAATTAAAATTTCATCGTTAAATCTTAAAAATAATAGCAAATAATAAAAAATGGAGTAACACAACAAGAATATCAACTATATTATAACAAGAGCAAAATTAAAATGAAAAACAGCAAGGCGAGATTAAAAAAGGATTAAAAAAAAAAGAGAGAGAGAGAACAAAGTTGATGTGTAAAAAAAAAATTTTTTTTTTTCCAATCAGACATTAATCGTGATGCTAAAGTTAAATGAAATGCAATTTTAAATTTTTATAATAACAAAGGGAAATATTAGATTTGATTCCATGCAATAGTATGGTACGGAATTGGACAGAAATTGCCAGTAATAATTTTTCAGACGTGACGAAATATTGAGAACAATGACAAAATTTGAATGTGAATATCAGAGAGGAAAACATTTATGGAGAATGTTTTTTTCTCAATTTACCATTTCTTCTCATGTACCTCATTTCTTTCTAAAGTTTATAATGGCATATACTTATAAGTTGCAACTAACTATTTTTCTCCGAAGCAATTTTCATCAACATAACCTATAAATTTGCGCCAATACTGTCACAGTAAGAAAAACAAATATCTAAAGAAGTGTATCTAGTGGAATATAGAGCTTACTAATCATAAAATCAAGTTCTAGAAGCATTTTGCCACTCCTCTATCACTGTTAGAGGTACAGTAGAGTCCAGAGAAACCTAAAAAGACAGTAGAACTTTCACTATTTTAAAATTGCGCTAGGATTTTTCGATGACTTCCACAATATTTGGCACCGTCAATCAAGGTTTGCGGAATTGTAAATTACTTTACCTTCTAGAACTATGTATCAATTCTGTTTTATAACAAATGGAAAGCCGTTCGTATTTTTCCAAAACTTGACATTACAATCGAATTCGTAAATTCCTTACAATTCAAATTCGAAATCTGATAAAATTTAAAGTTTCTTATAAAATTTTCATTGTACTCCACAGACAATGATCGTGATGATCCGAAAATGTGTAACAAAAAAAAAATACAAGAAAACAATTTATTGTTTTTAATTTTACGATGCAAATTAAAAAGAGAAGATAAAAATATTTTTACAATTAATTTATTTGTTTTCTTTTGTTTTTTATTTTTGTTTCAATATTACATCGTCCTTTATTGAAAGAAAGAAAAAGGACGAAAAGGAATAATTAAAGAATGTTACTATTAATTAAATTGTGTTCTTTTTTCAATAAGATTTTTTTAAATTTAAAATACTTAAAATAAACGTTATTCTTGAATCACGATAATATGACTGCGTTAAGAAATTCTATATAATTTGATGATTTAATTAAATTTTATAAATTTAATACAATTTTTACACAAGAAAATAAGCTCGTTAAGTTCCGGTTTAATGCTTTAATATACCTGTAATAATATATTCTAAAATTGCGCAAACATAAGCATTGTTGAATTAGGAAATATTGCTGGTACGTCTAAGTATAAGTAATTCTTTGAGTCACATCAAATAACAGCGACAGTTCTCAGTAAACGCACTTATCCAAGAAATAAAATGTTTCATATTCCAATTTTTATGGTATGAAAGGAAACAAAACACAAGTACAACAGGTTCCTTTTATTATTCTGGAACGAGTGGAAGTGATAGAGAATCAACTGAAATTAAATGATCTGATCTTTTAAAATTTGTGGGTCACTTTTCGCTATCAGCGTATACATATAGTATTTTCGTACAGCGTTCTTAAATAACATTAGACAAGTAATTCCCAATTAAAACCCACAAAACTCACAGTGAATATACATGAGTGGTAACCACACTATATAACAATCCGAACTGTGGTTGTTGATTTTATACAATTGCCAGTAGTCAATAAAATATTTGAAATGCTGGCGTTGTTTAAAATTATTTTTGTTAAAAATTAAAATGTTTGCATAAAATTTAAAAAAAAATTTCTGTCAATCTAATATAATTTTTTATTAAGCCAATTTTTTAATTATATAAATTATTTTTAACAATATTCACAAGTATACCGTAAATAATCAATAAATAATTCAAATAAAAGGGTAATTTTGCGGAAAACTTCATTAATTATATTATTATTAAAATTGCCACAATCAAATAGAATCATAACAGCAACAACAACTAATTATGTATGTTTTTTGAATTACTTACTAAATAATATTATTTTAAACTAAAAAAAAAAAAAAAACTCTTTAAAAATGTAATTAATTGAAAACCAACAAATTATTAATAGGCTCTTTTGTTTACTTTAAACAAAAATATTTATTTTATATTATATACTTAAATACATTATATATACATAGTGCAAATTTAGTAAATATTTGGTATAAATATAGACGAAATTAGCTATCCCAGTAAATCTTGTAAATATTAAGCATTTAATTTGATAATAATGCCGTTCATTCATATGAGAATAGAAAACAATAGGAAAAATATTAAGTGGCCCCCGATGCTGGGCATGAATTTATGACGCCGAGTACGAGCGTAGCATGCTCTATGTCGGGCGCCAGTTAATTTTATACCATAATAATTCTAATTGAACATGAAATAAAGGACGATTGTAATAAGATTAACTGGCGCCAGACGTAGAACATGGACCTATGAAATCTACGTCGGGCGCCAGTAAATATTATGCCATAATAATTTTAATTAAACATGAAAATAAAGAACAATTGGAATAATACGAACTGGCTCCCGACGTGGGGCATAAACCTATGACACCCAAAACAAGTGCAGAATACTCTACGTTGGGCGCCAGTTAATATTATGTCCTAATGATTCTAAATTGAACATGAAAATGAAGAATATTTGAAATAATATTAATTGGCGCCCGACGAAGAACATGAACCAATGACAATATTAAGCCATAATTATTCTAATTGAACATGAAAATAAAGAACAATTGAAACGACATTAACTGGCGCCCGACGTAGAGCATGAAACTATGACACCAAGTACGAAAGTAGCATGCTCTATTGAATGAGCTAGCCGGAAAATTTCAATATATTTTACACAAAAAAAAATTATTAGCAGCCAAATGAGGATCTTATCTCACCATTTTGAAATTACATTAAAAATAGTTTTAGTCATAATATCACAGTTCTTGCCCTAAAATCAGTCAATATTTTGAAAAAACATCATGCTACCCGAGCAGCTTCAAATATTTTTACACGAATCAAAAAAAAAGAAATATTACCAGTTACAAATTGTGATTTTTTTAATTGAAATATTTTAGAAAACTTTCTATTATGGCCAACTGGGAATTTTATAAACCATATTAGTTTATTTATTAACACATACATACATATTGTATGCTCTCAAAATATGCATACAAACATATTTGTATTTAATTGGATGGTTTTTGTTCTCTTCTTTACATTTTCAATATTTTACAAATAAAAAAATTAATTTTTAACAATTTATAAATTAATAATAATAATTAATACTCATATTGAATATTTTTTGTAAAAAATAAAAATTTAAACAAAAAAAAAAGAAGTTAATAATCAGGATATTTTAAATTCTTTACAATTTTTTAAGTAGGTAAGTAGATTGTTATTTTTAATTTTGTGGTAGAATGCATTTTTGGTTAATTTAATTTTATATTTTTTTTTTTCTTTGTTGTTGTTTTATTTAACTAGTCAATTCAATTTCAATTAAAAAATTTTTATATATTTTATAATATTTTAATATATAAAGTACATTTATGAATATTATATAAAATTATATTGTAAACAAAAGAATTAAAAATTTAAAAAAAAAAATTGAATTAATTAAAAATTTATTCAGAAAAAAAATAATATTTATTGTTATTACCGTTGTTATTATTTATGAAAAATCAAAATTAATGGTAATATAATCGGATAATATGTTATAATAACTGTACATTGTTATAATAGCGAAAATGAAAATATTTTTCCTATTTTTTATATTTAGTGTTCATTTAGTTGTTATAGCGGAAATCTCTTAAAACTTCCCTTATTGTTGTTGAATAATTTATTCATTTTAAAATGTTCAAATATTATGAATGAACACTTGATTTTAATACACGGTTGAACTATTTTTGGTTCGAATGATCAGTTTCAGTTTTTAAAATAGAATTAGTTACAATGAAATCTTGAATGTGGTGAGAAAAATTAAGATATTTAAGAAAAATATGTGAAAATTCGGGCGCTCTTCTTATGAAAACTAGGGAGAAAAGTCATTTGCACTAGCTCTTTACAAGTTACCGCAATAGTTTCCGAAAAAGCAGTATGTTATGCCAAATGAAGAGAGTAGATTTAATATCAAATATGTGCTAAATTCGTAGAAAAACGTAGAAGGAAACTGATTGATTACTTTTGGCATTACATGGAGGTGATAAAATAAGCTGTTGCATTGTAAACAATAATCATTCCAAGCAACATTTGTTGGGCAACATTAGGATTATATAATAGAAATTCTTGGAAGGAAACTAACTGATTACACGGAAGTGACAAAATAATTAGTTGCAGTGTAAGCAATACGATATACAGGGAAAATGTATCGATTAAATTCTGAGCCGCATTTTGTTGGGCTACATGTCCGTTACATAAATTTTTTATTTTGTAAACTGCATCATCCACAAGTGACTGCCTTATCAGCTTTATTTACCCTTGTTGCCACTAATTACCAGCGATTTTATTTAGAATTAGATTCAACACGTAAAGAAAATACTAGCAGCCACTATGTAAATTGCTCAAAAATAGTTAGGATTTTTAAATTAATTTGAAATAATAAAATCGTTGTAGATAATTTTCACATTTTAATTTCGAATAGTAAATATCTTATCATTTTTATCCTTAAACAGTAGTTTATTTTCATGTGAAAATAAAAATCTAAATTTAATGATAAAAAAATTTTTTCACATTTTGTTCATTAAAACTTAATTTTTTTTTTTTTTTTTGTGTGTTCACACACAGATACACACATCTGAATCTTACTTAATTTATCTATTTTCCAAAACTTTTACAATAATAATAATAATAATAAATTATATTTACCTTTACCAAAACCATGTATATCAGTACGGAAATTATCTCTACCCTTTTGACCATCAACTAATTGCCCTAGTCCATTAACAAGTCTATCGTTTTCCTCTTGACCATCATATGTCTTATCTGATAAATCAATTTCCATGCTACGTTGAATACCTTTCGGTATACTATATGAAATGATCCCCTCTGAAAAATTACCAAAAAAAAACAGAAAAAAAATGAAGAATTCAGATAATAAATACTTACATATATTAAAAATAAATGGTAGTTTATAAATTATATAAAAAGTAATATATAAATGAAAAAAAAAATTCCAACGTGGGAAAATTTTTTCTGTTAAACAGCAACAATACACTTGAAAACAATTAGCGTAGGTAGAAAACATTATAAAAATAAATGTGAATAGAGCCGCTATCCTTAAAATAATGGCTCTTTAATAATAGACCATTAAAGATATTTTCTTTTTTTTTTTCTCTCAATTTTTTTCAAAGATCACCTTCAATTGAATCCAAAAATAGATGTACGAGTATGTACGCACATATGTTATTATATAGCAGAATAATAAAGGAAATGGCGAAAAGAAATTTTCAATTTAATAATAATTTGAGGATACAACATGTACGCTGGAAAATAAAATACAAGAAGGAGGAACACACTGGCCATTAAATAAATCGGAAAAAATTTTAATAACATTAATATTTTCCATTTTAATTAAAAACTTTATTATTTTTTTCCATTACAATTAAATTTTAAGTTTTACAAGGCTACCCAACTTGGAATTTAATATCAGATTGAGTCCGTACAGTGTTACCGTACCTACTGAGCCCGATAAATAATAAATTCTCAAAACAGGTTGGCTCTCTTCCGCATAATATTATTTAAAATAATTTAATAATAATTTATTTATTCTCTTTCATATTTTATTAAAACCATAATAATTTAATAATAAATATTGAAAAATTCTGCTATCACAACAAAACGCAATAGTAAATGAGAGAAATTGTCATGATTCCAAAATTCAAATGTCAATAATTTTACATAATTCATTCAACTTTCCAACTCCACTCAACTCAATTTGTGAAGAGTATTAGCTGTAAAAAGTTCAATCTCTTTAAACCAAGACAATACGATTGATGATAAACAATTACAATATAATATCGTAAACTTTAAAAGATCAATAAAATATATAAATTTATCGTAATACTCAATATAAAGAAATAAAAGAGAGCATTTAAAATATTTTTATGTCATACTAAATCGTAAATGATTACTTTTAAATGTTTGCGAGTGTAATTTTGATTAAATGAAATTGTACTATAATCAAAATGGGTAATAACGTTTTACCTATACCACAAATATGTAGGTTTATACGAGTACATGCACATTATATAGCGGCTAAAATGAAATAATCACGCTCTTTACTAAAAATATAAAAAAAAGACGATGCAAAAATTCCAAATGAAACTTGTTTTAAATTAAGGATCCTTTATAAAATTTAATTGATAGTGATTAACAATTTATTCATGATACGCGATCTTTTCAAAAAAAAAAAAATCTATATGTAGGTAATTTATAATCGCACATAACAAAAAAAAAAATCAATTGAATAACAGAACAAGATGTAATAAAAGTAACCTATACAACATTTCAGGGCTAATCAATGCTATTTTCATTTCATTCGTTTCCATTCTCTGATCTCTTGACATTTTCTATATACAGATATGCTGCAACCATTTACAATTATATAGTTATGTATCTTGAATATGAAATAATTAAGGAATAATATTTTCGAACTCTAGCAATTCTACTATTCTACGATTAAATTTAGTATTAATGATGGAAAATTAAAATGGACGATTACTATTTTAAAGGTTTCAAGTTAATATTATTGGAATGACGTTAGCTTTGGTGTTTGGTGTATATTTGAAAACAGTCAGGTTTCGACACAGTAATTTGCCTAAAAATTCACTTTCGAGTAAATTTATAACGTTTATCGAATCATAAATCGAAAATAAAGGGATGTGAGTACGATTCTGGGGTAGTAATTTCACTGATTTGTACAGAGAACTGATTATTTGTAGTAAATCACATTTCAGTGTACCGGGTTAGTCAATTTTTGCAACACTGTAAAGCAACACTGTTTTGTTTCTTCTCGCAAACAAGGAAATTTTACTAATTTAATCTCAATGGTACCAAATTTAATAGAAACATGAATTTTTATTAAAAATATTCGACACTCTCTTAAACTTATTCTTAACACTTTAATTAAAAGGAGCATAGAGTCGACTATAGTTCCAATAATATTTCACATAAAAATCCCCTACAATTTTAAAATATTTATCGTTGGTAGCATAAATTTCGATTATAATATATGCGTTATCCTTATACGAATGTATATTCAATTCCAAAATAGTGCAAGTGCAAATTATTGTAAAAATATATAAAATAAAAATTTAACAATAAAAATAAAAACCTTTAAAATTTACGCTCTTATATTGATTCGGCAAACTCGTGCACACATACATAATATGTAATATATAGGTAGATGCAGTTATTTTGTAAAAAGATTAAGGAAAATTGGAAATGAGCCAGTAAAAAATATAAGGGATAAAAAAAACAAAAACCAAGAACTAAAACAGAAAATTACCTTTAAAGATCAGACCTAATAATATGAAAATCCCTGATGTGTAAAACGTTAAAATTTATTGCATGTTAAACTTCACAAGTTTGCCATTTTTTTTTTTTTTTGCTTTTTGTTTCCATAAAAAAAAAGTCGAATTTAAAATTAATAAAATAAAAGAACATTCGTTTTTTTTTCCCCATTCAACTCCTTTTATATTTGAAAATCAATCGATATTTATGATGGTAATGAAAGTTTGCGTGTTTTGTATTATTGGAATGCAAAACACAAAAAAAAAAGTATAAAATTCAGCAGAAAATTAAGAAAAAAATGCACACATACTACACATGAGACCGACCGAACGGCAACTTTTTTTTATATGTTGTAGGAGTAAAGCAAACAGAAAACACAAAACAAAAAATAAAAAATATTTTCGTTAAGGTGAATTTTTTTTTTTTTGTAAAGATAAGAAAATTCCGAAATAAAGCGGCGACAATATAGTCGGTACTATCACATTTGTATAACGCAATGCATAATAATTATTATTGTCACGACTCATACACTTTTTTATATAGACATTTACAAGGAAATGGTGTTTTCTTTATGATTTCGGGAAATAAATTCAGTCAATTCGATTTATTATTTGCCATTTTAATATTTTTTGGATGGTAAATAAAGATTATTGTATTGAAAACTGCTGATAACATTCTATAATTTTATTGCATTAAAATCTTCCAAGATAAGCGGACAAGTTTACATGAATGCTTGAAATTTATAGTAATTTTATTATATCCTATAAAATAAATTCAATGTTATGTTAAAACAGTAACAGAATACTGCAAAAATTTTGCATGAATTTCAGTTAGTTAAGCTCTCATTAACGCTTCCAAGCAAGGCAACAATATTATTTGCTTCACTCTTCACCACACTTCTCTCTATCTCTTATAAATGACTGTTTGTGAGTGTGAATTCTGAATATTACATTGTTGTTCTCTTACCTCCATTATTAATTATTTTAATAAAATTTACTCAAATTCGACAATTCAAATTACCAAATTGTACTAAATTCAATAACTCCGGCTAAAATCACATAGAGATTTAATATAAATTTTTATTGATTATCACCTCGAGGTATTAAAAATTTAACTATATTCACCAATATTTAAGGATTTAACTTTTTTCTTGAAGTTTTGAATTTATACCCTTAAATATTATACGTGTGATAGATGTATAAATAAAATATTTTACTCATATTTTAATAAAAATTTAAAAATTTTCATTCACCTTTAATCAAGAAGTGTTTTGCCATTAAATAACAAATCAAATCTTTTCCCCATATAGATAGGACGCTCACATAAGTATGTGGTAAATAAAGCATACTACGCCGTTAACATTAATCTTACACAACAAGAGAGATTTTATTATATATATCCACGCATGGTTCGAAAAACATGAGAATATTGACAATAAACATGGTCAAGGTTTTCAAAATGAAAAATAAAAAACGTGCAAGCAGAACTTTTTCAAATCATTTTTCAAAATTCTGTATACATAGGTTAATATTATCAAATCCATCACACTGAGCTGCCAACTCCCCTCTGACTTATATGTTATTAAACATAACCTTAAATAATGAATAAGAACCAGATGGCATGAAAAAATGAATATTGGTGAAAAGTTACCAAAATTTTTTTTTAATTAGGTACTCAAAATAAAAAAATCTTATAAATTAAAAATTTATAAGACTGCTGCAAGTACATTAATACGAGTATTAAAGCATATTTATAGTTTACATACTTTTACTTAAAAAAAATGTTCCTAATTACATCCAGCTGCTCTTAATATACTTTTAATTAATGCATTATTAATTAATAATCATTTCCGAAGCATTTATTCTTATAAGTAAAAATTTCGAGTTCATATTCAATGAAGCTGAATACCGAAAAAAAAATCAATTTTTTATTTTTGGTTTTTTTAATTTTCCATCATATTATAATCAATTTAATACACTACGGAAAAAAAATAACAAGCAAGAAAACCGAGAAAATATTGAATAATTAAAAAAAATTACCGTAATCTCTAAGATAATAAGGTGTTATATGGTAGTCGTCTAGGAGTCATAGAACAGAGATGCCAAAAATATTTTTCGAAATCTAGTCACCTGTGCTGCTTCACACCATTTGGCCATGGAAAATTTTCAAAATTATTCCTTATTGCCTCCTTGTGCTATTAAAATTTGACTATAATTTATATTTTCCCGTATTCCGTAATTCACGATTCACATGAGTGGACATCGAATTATTGAAATAGCTATTTAGGGGAAAACTAAATTTCGGACGAATTAAAATTCGGACTAAAATTCCGAATTATCAACTAAAGCTAAATTGCTGGCAGCATTTATTCCGAGTTATCAAGGAACACTAAATTACTGGCGGCATTTATTCCGAATTATTAATGAACACTAAATTTATAGTAGCACTTATTCCGAGTTATCAAGGAACACTAAATTGCTGGCGGAATTTATTTCAAATTATCAATGAACACTAAATTTCGGGCAGCACTAACA